AGTCTTTCACAATTAATATGTATGTATAAATCGTACATCTATTTATATATATATATATATATACACACATATATATAATTAGAAACTAGATAAACCAATTTTTTAGCACGCAATTTACCTCACAAATTTTATTTTAAGTTTATAGAAGATGAAAATGTGGAAATAATACAAGGCAAATCGAGTTTAATGGATCGGGCGCGAGTTGAATCTTCTCACTACAAGCCATGTTACATCGCGGCTTTATTGTGCATTTTGGCGAAAATTGTGCTAGACATGGATCGCTTTTGTGGAAGCACTCTGGATGAATTGATTCTCCTTACCGGTAAAATCGATCAAGGGGTAGGCAGATTACGATATAAGGAATTTAGGACATTTTATAATATGAACATTTTCGATACGAATTTTAACGTGATTCTGAAAGAGATTATTCGCTCCGATCCCGAGAATCCAAAATCCAAGGATCTTGATGGAAGCGTAGAAAAATTCTTAGAAAAGGATCGAACCGGCATATTAGTATTGATAAATTGTGCCTACGCATTTTGGACGGCGCATGGCAAATATTATCTCTTCGACCCTTACCCTTGCGACGAGAAGGGACGCGCTAGTGAGGAGGGTTACTGCTGCCTTTTAAAACTCCACGATTTAAAGTCAATGCTCGATAGAATTAAAGAAAACGCCGGCGAGACTGTGAGAAAACCTTTCCGTCTTTATACCGTGTCCATCGCTCACATGGAAAAGAAGAGACGTAAACGGAAACGAAAAAAAGGCATCGAACATCGCGCGAAACTAACCGTTCAAGAGTCGGTCAGAAGCGAGGAAAAGCGAGATGCGGCGACGCCACCAACCGCATCGGAAACATCTCTGATCGAGTTAGCAGAGTGGGTCACTTCGGATCCGGAGTTGGATCCAGATCGTGACGTCATGATTCCCGGTTTCACACCAATGCGATATCACGAAGCTTCGATGCTTGAAGCAATCGTTCTACAGGATGACATTACGACGCCTACTCTGATGCCATTCAAAGAGGAGCCATCAAAAAAACGAGACGATGGTCGCGAGGAAACGACGATAGAACGAGCGGAACCATTCGAAAGGATATTTCGAAACTACACGTCCCTCACAATTCCCATCGATCTCTGCGTCATGGCGTGGTCGTTGATCCACGATCCCGTGTCCTGGTCGGAGCGCACAGTCGACGGTCTGCTCGAGGGCAGCGTAGATTACGCCCTTGATAGCGTGTTAGCGAGCGAAGATACTTCCGTGAGCGACATGACTGATGGCTTGTTGCCGGAATTCGAGATAGCAAATTACGCATTTCGAGTGGTATTCGCGCCGTTGCACTACGGGAAGCTGTACGCTACGGAAGGATGGAACCTGGCGATGACTATGGAAAAGATATTTGAGACGAGAATCTACACCGGAGCAATAGTCGTCTGTCGCCACGCTCATGTGGGCATCACGAAATGCGGCAGAAATTATTTTGCCTGGTGGGCGGTCACGGGGACGAAATGTTTGAGGATGATCACGTCCAGCAGCATGAGCGAGTTTCTTAAATTAATTGTCAAGATAATCGACGCGCCGCGGGAGACGGCATTCGCCGTGAGAGCGATCACGATATCTTACGCGCGTAAAACGGCACCAGATTGCAGCGACATCCGCGGTCTTCACGAGTCGATAGCACCAACAGCATCCTTGGCGGAAATTCATCGCAAGAACTCGCCGGAATCTCGCGACCTTGAAGCGATTTTCAGACCAATCGGCCCAGCTCCGAAACCAATCTTCATACTTGGAACAGTAGCTTTGCGTGATCGAAATAGCTTGTTAGAGCCGCGAACAAAACGTTGCTACTTCGTCGCGTTGTTGGCCGTCACGATTAAGCGGGACATCGTTCAGTCTCCGCTCCCGGGCATGATCGACAGGATTCTCGAAGTGGCGGAGAGTTTATACAGAGGATTCGCTGAGCCGAAATTTCACGCGGAACATATATTGCGGAATGTCCCGCTAATGAACAGACTGTTCGACTTTCGAGACTGCGCATCGCCGTTGGTCACGTTGACGACGAATCCTCAAACCGGCAGAAACGATTTTTTCATTCAAGTGAGCGTCAAAGATACAAGAGAGAGAAAAAAATCATTCTTTCAGTTTTTTCTCATCTCTGTTGTTTGTAGCATGATTGGAAATTTTATTTCTTTTCTTTTTATATTTAATTATATATGTTTTTTATCATATATTTTTTATTTTTACTCTTTAGGAAGCTTTTCAAATATTTTTCTATCTTTATTTTCTCTTTAAAATTTTTTCCTGTTTTCATTTAATATTATATAACATATATATTGACCAAAAAATGTATATCTTTCCTAATTATCATATCTTTTTTTATATATATACTCATTTATTATAATATTGTTATCTCTATTTATTTAGTTAGTTATACTATTTTATTCTATATTTAGAATTTTTTTTTCAGTTTCATATAAAGATGTTTTAGCACTTTTAATATACCATTCTAATATTTTTAAGATTTCTTTTATGTACATCACTTTAGGTGAAAAGACATTTGAAACGTCACTTCAAAATGCACACAAGCGGCATATTGCACTTCACTAACTGCTGCTACGGCTTTTGGTACTCGAGATCGACCAATTGCTATTACTATCTCGATCCGTATCAGTGTGATACGGGAGGCAAAAAAACTTTCGCCAACGGCAACGCCTGTCTGTGCATCTTCTCCTCCGTGTGTCAAATGACGAAGCACATGTGTCTCAATCAATATGAAGGTACGACTGGATTCTATCTTCACAGAATTCACGTAAGCTCCATCGACACGTTGCCGTACGAAAAGTTCCAGGAAGACCCGATGTGGATCTATCTCGACTATCACTGGAATTTCATGCATTCAATTATGCGAGCACGTAGGAAAGCAAAAGACGGCGATGGGTCCGGTCCATCGAAATTTGATCGGCGATTTTGGAACAATTACGCGGTCGAAATTGCCGATCTGATTTATTCTGTTTGGGGCACGATCGGCGCGTATGATTGCCGTTTTGGCGAACGGGCTGGAAAAAATCGCATCGCTATATGCGTGGTCATTTTGGCCATGCAACATCTTTGTCATCCCTCTAGATGGGGTCCCGCCATCCTGGATTCAGCCGTGATCTGCGGCGATTCCTATTATACAGAAAGCCTGAAAAGCGCGGCGCGAAGGTGCTCCGAGTCTGTAAACAGGTTCGGTCTGCGAACTACCCTCAGGGTATTCCCACACTTGTGGACCGTGGATTTCGGCACAAGCGTATGTGGAATTCTATATGGCAATCGAAACAGATTGACATTAACCGGAGCGTTGAAATTAGCCTTCGAGGAGACTCGCAATGTCATCATTGAATGTAACGAGATCACCCTGGCCGTGTTAGCTGCCAAGGACGCTTATTACATCGCCGATCCCTGCTGGATCGGTCCGCCATTATTCGCGAGGGATCGTAATGCGATCTACGTTTTACGCTGCAAAAACGTGAACGTACTAATATATGCAATCACGAAGATATTCAATACCAATCAGCGACTCGGCGTTCGTATTACGCCGTTGAGGCTCGCGTTCGATCGAGAAGACCTTGACGCAGATTCCGGACTCTACACCGCTAGAAGGAAAATCTTGCCGAGATCGCTACGAAAGGATCCAGGAAAAATCGAAGATCCCGGTACGCCTATTCCCGGAGCGGTTACGGTACCAGATGTAGATTCTTACCTGCGATATCAACGGCATCTCGCCGATAGTATAATCGGAGATTCCCGACCGGAGGATACCCAGCTGCGAAATCATATGGGGCTTGCATTGAATCCTGAAAATGTGAACAATACGTTCGTGAGCACTAAGTGGCGTTTGAATCTCGGCCGAATGCGCCCTCCGAAACGATCCAAGCCACCTGTGGATCCTATCAAGATAAAACGTGATTCGGCGGATTGCGTCGATTCCGCGACTGAACTATTCCAGCCGCATCGTTCGCAAATTTCTGTCATGGATTTAATTACTGCATGCGATAATTATCCGAGACCGATGGATTTCGCCAGCAATGCTCCTCCACTTGGAATAGAGTCACTCGAATGCAACCTGAGCGAGCGTGATTTCATCCATAAACAAAGTCGCGTGGATTTCAACGAAAACGTTGCAGAAATGTCTCGGGATATTTACAAGAGTTATCGCCATCGTCTATCGAAAAATAAGAAATCTGCTCATTCTTCAATCGGTGCTGCTCAAATGAAAGATAAAGCCGAGAATATTCCAGAAACATATAGTGAAATAAGCGAAGCGACAACCGATACGGAAATTTACTGATGTGAATATTGAATAGGAGTAATCGTTGGAAATTTACAGAGACGTGATCCTTCTGGAGATCGATTATATCAGTAGATAAATATTAAATGTTTTTCTTAGAAATTCTGACGTAACCATAAAGAGCAAAATGACTGCGATTTTGTGATTACAATATAATATTGCATAATTCTGTTGATGTATTTAAAAATCTATTAACATTCCTATCTTACCTTGTAAGAAACTCTTTAATTCCGAGAAATTCTTAATAACCTCTAAAAAAAAAAAAAAAAACATCAAGAACATTTTCAATAATTGCGAAATTATTAGCTTCTCATTAGATATGTATTCCAATTTACATCAACATGTTGACATACGTCATTTGTAACAATTATATAACGTGTACATTACATAATACGTATGTCTATAATTAACAAATGATTCGTATATCGATGTTATTAAACGATTCTCGAGAATGTATATATATATTAGAGATTTATATAAATAAATTATAAATCCGACACTAAAAAAGATAAATTTATTATACAAAAATTTATTATACTTTCCATTTTTATAAAATCTCTGCATATTGTATGTCGCTTTTTATCAATAATTCCCAGATAATTTTCGATAAAAAGTATATAATATAATTTTAAAAGTTTATTTATATTTATCATATTTTTCAGAATTAAAATTTAAAATTTCATATTGTTTTGATCAAATAAAAAAACTTAATAATAATAAAAAAACAAGATGCCGGTTTCAAATTGCTATGTTGCAATTGCTATATTGATGTACACGAATGTCTGCGCGTGTATCATGATTTAGCCAAAGATACAGGTTTAATGAATGTTAGACTTAATCGATTCATATATTATTTTTATTTAATTATTTATCAAAATAAGTGTGTACAAAATAATAACTAAATTTATTAGTATTGGACGGCAAAAAATGTTTGAATCGATATAATCGTAGTTTTTTACGAATATAATCGAAAGAATCAAACGAATTAATGATTGACTTATATCTAATAAGTTTGCATCGCTGTTAAATGATTAATTTACCATAAATTAAGCCTTTAATATTTCAAAATATGATACCACACCTAATAATTACTTTAAAAAATATGCAATTATTACGCGGATTGTAGCATATAAATCTTACATAGTTATTAGTAAACGTTTATCTCGTATTCTTCTATAATGAGATATACACACCACATATACATATAGTCTTAAATATATAATTTTTAAGTATATTGAACTTTATAATATACAAAAACAATAGTCTCGCGCTTAAAAATCGTTTTTGTGATTTTATTTGGTATCGCTTGAATGTTCTTTGCGTTAATTTTTTCATTTGCTATAGCTGATATTCTTACGATGATATTCTTCTTTCCATATGATTAGTTTTCCAAATTTAAATCATCCAAACAACTTTTAAGCGTATGACTTGCACGATAGTGATTATTATTATTATTACGCTTATGTATTATTTAAATGGACAATAACAACATTAACATTAATACTTAAGTACGTTTAACGCGATGTTTAACATAATGTCGCAATAGTCATATATACGTCATAAGAAAAAAGAAATTTATAGAGAAGAAAAGATATATATATTCTCATTAAAAGTGATCTAAGAAATATGCAAATTAGTATAGCTTAATACATACAAAAATTTTAAGTGAAATCTTTTTAGCTGAACAAAAAAAGTTCGTCCGACAACACGATGGTTAAGATCATATTTTCCACAAAATTCTCATCAAAGAATTCTCGTCTGAATTCTCGTCGAATGAGAAATAATTGGGTATACCGCTTGCACATACCATTTGAGACGTTATAAATTTATAAAGCAATTTGTGCATAGCAACGCATATTTTTCCCGTATTCGGCAAGAAGCCGTGTCTCTCCTTGCTCCCGAATTCAATAATCAGCTGCGTAACACATACGTCGAAGGACAGAGATCGGAACACCGTGCGATCGTAATATAACATTATCCGACCATTATCTTATCTGAACATTATCTACCATACAACAAATTATCACACGTACGGACACATAAATTGAGGCTTTGATTAAGGAACGTGATTGTGTCCATTTTTGTATATGAAAATGATCGCGATAAACGCGACGAAAGATCAATAACGAGGTAAAAATAACACCTTGAAACGAATTCTTTGTCGCTTTAATTTGTTTCAAATTGTATGTCCATTTCGTTTTTCGTTTACTTGTAATAAAATCGCATCAGTTTTTACGCGGAAGAAATTGTCGTTTTTAAAAATCGTAACTCTCGATAGATGAAGAACGCGCGATCGTCTGTATATTAATCGCTTTCGAGACGCAATTATTTATCGGGTGTTTCCTCCGTTTCCGGTTTCGTGTACAAGATCTCGGCATATTCCGTTTTATCCTCGTTGAGCCGCCGGGATGTGGTACCTTGTTGTGTAAGATCCAGCTCCGCGTAAACTATTCCACCCTCACCCGTCGCAGGATTCGTCCTGCTTTCCTGCGCAACTGGCTCAGCAATCTAAAGTTACATCATGTTTTTTTTTTTTTAGATATGGACATGAGAGCCAATAAAAGATCTCGATCTTAATTAGCATTTTAATGATCATACGATTATATTAAGATACATTATAAAAAAATTTATTATTCCATAAAACTTGATCCCGTCATATAAAAGATCTAATACATCTTATCTTTTTTATCTTTTTTTTTATTCTAACGAAAAAATTACAAGATATATGATACAGTTGGAATTTTACATTTATAGCTATGTTTTTTGTTAGAGAAAATTATGAATCACTAATGAATCACTATTAAATTACGAATCACTATGCATAATGTAACGTACTCCGAATTTACACTGAATTAGTGAAATTATCACTAATTAACGCAGTGACAAGATTTCACCAAAGATCAATAAATATTTTATCGATTTTCAGTAAAAACACACTTTGCTCCTTCGTTTTATGTTTCACTGAATATGTGCATAAGATTTCACTGAAAAATCCGCTAACATTAATTGGTTCTTCTCAGTGAAGTTTTACGGTTTGTGCTATACTTATAATTGGAATTACTGCTTATCAATAATACAATGATGACATTTAAAAGAGTATAATTTTTTTCCAACGTATATTATCATAAGCATATTATCGATTTCAAAACGGCTAATTTAACTATAAGTTCGTTATTGGCAATAAAATATATTTAAATCTACTTAAAAAAAATAGCAATGATGAAAAAAGGATATAATGACGCTCATATCTCATTCAGCAAAAACCAGTAAAATTTACCTTCTCGTCGTCGACGGTGACGACGGTCTTCATAGTGTCCGTATCGGTACCCGACACTTTATCCTTGTTACGTCCAAAAAGTCTGGACAGATTAATCCTTGGTTTCCGTTGTCCTCGGGACGACGCTCCATCTACTTCCGATCGGGAATATCTGCCGGCACTTTCTGTGTCGCTTCTGATAAAGAAAATTAAGCTGTTTCTTCCCATATAACATCTCGTCAAAATGTGATCAAATGACATTGATTTTACGGGAATTGCGAAACGTTAAGCTGTAGTATGCAGTGTTTATGATATTAATTTTTCAATATTACCGAATGACAATTAATTATGTTTGTTTTCATATTATTATTCCCAATGTATATGTATCTGCTATTTTCTGATCAATTTCTGCGCGCACATATATGTATATGTGTGCCTGTTACCTGTTTTTCTAATTTAAGGAACAAGGACAGTTAATAAATATGTCGTTAAAAAAACATTTATGATTGCACGTGTACAATACGTACAAAAAAGCGTTACGTCAACTTGTATTTTCATGTCAAGCGCGATATTAATTAAATTCTAAATGCTAATTAAATCTTATCTACTTCTCGCTCGTTTATTATATACTTGCCTCTCCTTAATATATATGTACGGAATATAAATGTCAATAATCCATAATTGAAACGATAATTAATCGTTAAAAAAATCATGATGGACAATTGCAATAAATAGCCTTTTTGTTTTAGTTAATTTATAAAAAACTGCATCGAATATTTTATAGCATAAATTAGCACCAGAAAAACTGTACGCAGCAAAACCTGTATTGACCAAGGTTTTATAAAATTTTGTAATATGCTGAATTTATGATAATAGAGTTTACGTTACCCTCTATATCATAAATAATATATACGTTTGATTACCCAGCAAATGTTATAAATTAAATATTAATTATCACAAAATATCACAATATTAATTACTTCAGCATAATACATTATTTAGAATATTATGTTATTTAGAATATTTAGTTATTTAGAAATCTTGCTTCCAAATATTATAAAATAAGCGCTGCGATTAATACAAATTATGTATACATACATGTAAATTACGATGAGATAGTATTAGAGATGAAGCATACATATAAACTGAACAAAGCACTCTATTTTGGCTAGTTAAATTATTAGAGAGAAATATCATATAAGCAAAATATAAGTACGCGCATTGATAGCGCATATAGAAAATAAATGCGATCGTCTGGAGAGGTAATTCACATAAGCAGCAATTATATATTTTATATATACGATGGGCAACTAAGCTGCGTGTTTTCTTACTCGTGATGCCTCGCAAACTGGAAACTTCAAAAAAAAAATGTGGCGCTATTTTTACATTGCAGTTATGTAATTATGATTCAAGTCACAAGTGTATTATATTTTCATTGTTGCGAATTAAATATTGGAAAATAAATATCACGAATCCATGCAAATAAAAGCTCGGAATTACGCAAATCTGCGTTTAGCTTTTTCTTTGCATGCAAATGATATAATAAAGAAATTCTATTTTAATTGTTCTATTATAATGTATACTAAGCAGAAATAGAAATTGTCATAACGAAAATAAAACGCAAAAAAGATGCAATGTAGAATGAGGTAATCAAATAATCGCTGATATTCGAGTTTCATTTGTTTATATATCGTGAAGATCTGCGTAAAGATTACGTAAACATCGTACTACGAGATTGACGCAGTAACATTTAGCACTAACTCCGACCATATTTATTCAGAATTTATCTTATCTGATGACCGTATAAATGAGAATTAGGCCATTTATAGTTAGGTCATTTTTATCTAGTATATAACAAAATTATATTGAGCTATATACCAACAGATTTCGACATTTTAGATTATGATATCAAAAAAAATGCTTGACTTATTCCTGCAATATTGATAATTATATTGATAATGAAATGTGAATTAATCTTTATATATTTCTTTGTTTTAACTTATGAGATCGTGAGTTAATACAAGTTATAGATGTTAATCTATTGTCATATAAGATTTTTATTTTTATCAGAAATATCATGAGACGAGAGCAAGTTCCCAGTTTGATCAAATTGTGCAGAAAACAGATGAACAATACTCTGTTGGCCGTTGGCTTTCCGCGCAATTTAATCCAATTTCTCTGTCCTGACGAGTAAGAAAAGCGAGCGCGTCGATGGACACATCCGACATTGCGAACGAATAAAATAAAAAAGCTGCTGCTTGCCTTTTTCTAACGACATCGGCCGCAGTTTTCGATTTCTCGAGGCGAAGAAGTCTAACGCTCGTCGCAGGGTCCGCGAAGTCTCTGAAAATGTGCATGCTTGGCAAAAATCTACGATAATCATCGAGTGACGGAAAAGTGACGAAAAAATCTATTGTTCGTCTCTAAATTGCGTCACACACAATTTAAATTAAATTAAAGCAAACTACGACAAATGAAGTATTAGTCATGACGCCATAGTGCAAGTGTGTGAATATTACAAGCAAGAGTGCAATAAAATGTGAGTTGTACTTAATAATAATCGTATATTTTTTTAGTGTACTCACGATTCCCCGAGATTCCTGGTGGACGAACGACCTGAAAGTAATAAGGAAAATTTAGCTTAAATTTGGCAATGTTTTCGCTGTTAAAGCTGTTTCCTAATAAAGGTAAGAATACAATTGATATTTCTGACGAGCCTATTTATTTTTAAAATGCAAGAATTAATCACTAAAATGATAATGAAATGTGATCACTATAAGTTTTTTCTCTTGGATTTATTTTAAGATTTATTAAAAACTTCTACGAATATTTTTAATTGAGATATATTTTTGAAAATAATATTTATCATCAACATATTTTAAGTCATAATGTATTCCAACTTATTAAAATAATCCAAGATTGTATTGTTTATTTCATTTGACATATAAAACAATAATATTTTTTATTATAACTTTAATACAAGTTGAGCGTTTATTGTCTCAAGAGATATCAATAAAGAAAAGAAATTTTTCTTTTATTTTCTTTATATATGTAGATAATTTGGAATATCGTAATTTGGAAATCTTATGTTTGAAGCGATATCATATTAAAATTTAAAATAATGCACGTACTTAATTATCATATCTTATAAATTAAGAATCAATGTGTCAGTATATCAACAATAACACATATTTTATTAATAAACTTTGACCTATGATGTCAATCTATGGCACCATTCCTTTCTAGTTCAACCACATATGTTATGTACTTTTTTGTATTTCATGTTAAAACATCTTTCAATAGTATTACGGATATTAATGTACAGTTTTTCTTTTTCACATTCACCGAGTGAAAGATACAGATCATTAGAAAAAAATGTCGCGGTTAATATCGCGACTTAAAAATTAATTAATTTTCATGATATTTTAATTTCTGTATTTAGAAGACTACATCCTGTCTCCATAGCTGTAACGATAAGATCCCGAAGTTATGATATAAAAAAAATGCTCGATATCATAAATATAGTTTAATGGTAGGACGTGACACATTTTTCAACATTTATCTGTATATTTAAAACAAATGTTTTATTTCAAAAATCATACGATACCTAAGTATAATATCATAGCGACGAATAAACTTACAGTTAATTATACATACAGCTCTCTATATATTATTTTTATTTGAATTCTTAGATTTACTTTTCGCCTATCGCATTGTATCTACAAGTAGAGATACAAAATCGTGTTCTCGCGCGCTTGCGGTGTGGCTGTTTCACTTTAATCGCGATTGTATATAGCATCGTTTTTTAACCATTTTGCTTTCTTAATTTAGATATTTAGCGATCTCCGGAGTGTATTAACTGACCGCCAACGGCGCCGTTTTGATTGGGCCCTTAATCGGAAATGGCGAGATAACGATATCGCGCAAGTGCAATTTTTCGGTAACTTAACCGCGATTTTTCACGCAGTACTTAGGTGGCTTCTAAAAATGTTTCAAAGGGAGAGAGAAAGAGAGAGAGAGAGAGAACACCAATTGCAGGTATTTATAATATATATCTCGTGATCCGGTGAATCGACACCGCCATTGCATGCTTCTTCATCATCTTATTCTATAGAGACTTATATTAACATAAATATATCTATATCATATATAATATATATATAATATATATACCCCATTGTATATGGCCAACGATCATGCTCCTTAATAACGTATGTTATCTTTTCGTTAATATATTATGAGTTTTACAAATGTTCATTCAATCTTTAATTGTCACGGGAATAACGATAATGCAATCGAACGTGCGTACACATCTGTATATTTTCACACGTCCGTGTATATATATATATATATTATATCCTCGCAGCATGATCATCGAGATTTTAAGTCGTAAACGTTACAAGTATAATTACATTACAATTAACTAATTATATAAAAATCAATTACGTAATAGCTGCATTGATATCAATAAACGTGTATTAAAATGTATAGATATAGGCAGGTTTTGTACGCAAATGCATCCGTATATGTAATCTTTTTGTTTCTTTTTTTTTTATGAATCTTATAATAGACGACGACGAGGAATCGTGTTTAACGATCTCGCTCGACCGCAATAATTCAAATAAACAGCGCAATAAATCGAAATAAATCGCAGTTTACGACGATACTTGCCACGTTCTTTGTAAACACCGATAATTATTTAAGAAAGCGCAGATCTCTTACGGTAATCGTTTTTTCTCTTACTAAATATAAAGATGTTAGTATATAACTTACAGATTAAGATAAAGGATGTACATGATATTCTCTTATGGCATTTTGTAAATAAGACAGAAAAAATCCTATATATCGATTTATATTTTGGCAGTGATCTTTAACGTTGTTCTTGTTATGTATCTCTAGACTTGTTTGAGCCAGCTTAGTCTCATGAAATTCATTGAAATATTTAGTATTACAATGGCTATAAGTATAGTAACAGCGGTTACTTTTAATAATACTGATGAACTAAAATCGGAAACTTGCAGAAAAAAATCTAAATTAAATAATAAATATTTCCTGACTATACAAGAAATACGGTAAAAAATAAAAAAATAAATAAAAATGTTTTATTAATAATTTTGGTTACTATTTTTTTTGAGATTCAAAAAAGATTTTTGAGACCAATGAAAAATGGTGGAAACAACAAAAACAATAGAAACGACAAGCAATTTGTCCGTAAAATTCCAATTATATTGCATCACTTTTAAAATGTATTAAACATTAATTTAAAATCCAATATTATCCTCCGATTGTATTCGCTGTTACTATATGCTTGTGATAGTTTTATCTACTGAGAGTGATTTTCGGTTAGTAAAAATTTCCGATAAATATTCGAAAGCGAATCTTAATGGTTGGTGGTTTAATCGTACATTTTACTTTCCGAGAATAGCTCTGTGAGAATCTCATGTATATACCTAGTCTAATTGTAAGACAGAAAATTGAAACGTTTATCCGTTTTAGTCAGTACTCTTTTTGTGTCGTTTCCTTTCAGAAACGGTAATCTCTCTCATTTCTTATAGAATATTATGAAACATTTAAAATTCAGACCATATATATTATTTCTTATGTATATAAAAAATTCGGATCGCCCTAATGCTCTTATTCGCACTCGCTACAATAAGATCGCGATGCGCAAGAATATGCAGAGAATACCGCATATTTTTTTTTTTTTCTTTTCTTTAGGTAAACGCGCGATTTCCCCTTTTCCCTGTGTTTAGGCTCTCTCTATTACATATATTAACATACTCTGGCATATAGTATACGTAATATTTATTAGCATGATATATATTATACATATATAATGTATATATAAATTAAACACATATATATGTATATATACTCTTTCTATATATATTATGTATACTAATAGATGTCCGATATTTGGGTTGAAAACTGATGCAAGATGGTCTCTCTGTGACAGCACAAACACCGTACCAGCCTCGCAGATAGAGTTTTCAGTTGGCAATTTTTTAACCACGCGTATCAGTATCTTAGTAAAATAGAACAATCGATATCAGTCCTCTTATGTATGACATTTTTTCTTTTTGCTTCCATTAACGCTAAAAAGAAAGTTGGGAAAATAACGGAAGAAACTTTTAGCAGATCTAGATATGTGATTACAAAATAAATGGAAGGAAATAAAAGGACAAGTTTCCAATACAACTGAGAGAAAACATGTGGTAGAAAAATAAATGCTCTGTAACTGAATAATATTTGCTTCGTTTTATGAATCTTAAAAAGCTCGTCCATGTGTGTGTTCGGATATATGAATTATAACAATATATAAAAAAATGACATTGACCGTTCTAGTTTCTAAGATACCAATATATCTAATCGCGCTTTTTTTCTTTCATTTTTTTTATTACACGCCTTCCTCGCACATTTCATTCTTTTTTTTCATCCATTTATCAGAGTTTTATCAACTTGCTTTAAGTGAACTTCACATATTTTCTCTCCACTAATATCTTTCAACCTAAAAAAAGTTCATGAATAACGACAGGTCGATTCAGCAATTGGAGTGCAAGCGAATAAGTGAGTCATTCATTTGATCGACATTCACGAACACTTGCAAACCAAGTGCTCTCGACACAGAATATATATCTGGTACTGTTTTCTTCGCGATCTCGTTTTATATATATTTATATATTTATATATATATATATATATCTTTATATTTATATATGTATTTAGTATGTACAACACGCAGCAGAGATTCGACCGTTGACCGACGAGTTGCATCGGCGTTCTCCTTCATTGAAATTCGCTCAGATTGCGATCGATTTTTTAAAATCATATTCTGCTTAATAATCACTTCACGTCCTTTTCCCCTATCTCCGACGAAAACCTCGATGATCTCGTCGGTCTCAGCACGGCCCTTTTCTTGTAAATAAAAACACGAATGCAGCCAGAAAAACAGTAAAGGATCGTACGTACCGAATTCGGTAACGTATCGTCGATGAATTGTACATTCATCCTTTGGTTCTTATCCGATTTTTACGCGATGCCGACGAGACCTACATTCAGATTCGTGTATGTTGTGTACATGTGTATGTATGTAAATAATGTGCGCGCATGAAGCAAGTATTTTAGAATTATATTTGTGGGGATTAGCTAAGAAAAATTCATCTGTGTACAAAAGTACAAACAACACTTATTGTCGAAGGCAACGATAAAAATTTACGAGGCTGACTTTAAACTCTTCACTCACAATATTATTAATATGCGCCGTAAAAGGTAAATCCGGTGTGAGTAAGTGCAGGATGTTTCTCTGTAAGATCTGCATCAAACTACATAAAAGCGTTATTTTAATTAGTGTACTTGACATTTTTTAGCAAAAAGTGTATCCAAGAGTGTGTTTCTTAACAAATAAGAGAAATTCTGAGAATAATCTCTCCATTACACCAAATCGATTTAAAATTAATTAAAAAACAAGATTTTGTTATAAATTTAAATTTTAAAATCTTAATCCATCAGAAGTTTTTTAAAATTATGCCGAACTATGGATAATTGTACAATAATCTAAATTTTCGCAAAAAAAGAACGCTGACTAAAAATCTATCGAAAAATTACCATTTTAAAAC